CATAACTACAACTTGTAGACTAATAGTAATTAGCCAGTGGGCTAAAGAGTTGTTCCTAACGAACACAGTTAACACACACATACTGATTAAAACTACTTTTACGGATTTTATCGCGTTTTATTTATTTTATATTTAATACCCGACGTTTCGGGTGTTTTCTAGCACCCATGGTCACGGGGGACCGAGGGTGAACTGACGTCCCGATCTCAAAGTTAACCCGGAGTACCTTCAGCTTTTTAATTATTGTCTTTGGACCGATCTACGCAGAATAAACTAACTGTGTTTTGAAGTCTTGCAGTGGTATCCTTGGGTTTAGTTTTAATTTTATTAATTATAAGATTCCAAGCAGGTGGTAGTACCCAGCCTCCTTCTCTAAAAATTCTCTTGAAATTAGGATGTTTTTTAATTAAAATAGCCTCACGTATCATCCTTGGTAGTTCTTTCGCGAGGATTTGTGTTCTATCAAATCTGATGTAATGGTTGGGGCCATCTAGGATATGATCGCAAACTGCAGACTTCCCGGAACGTTGATGCTTCACGTCAGCTATGTGTTCTTTTTACGCGGGTTCTAATTGATCTCTTTGTTTGCCCTATATATGAGAGACCACAATCACAATCAAGCTTGTACACTCCTGCATCTTGTAGAGGAATATGACACTTAACGGATGGTACGAACTGACTAATCTTCTTCGGCGGCTTGTAGAATGTTTTAATAGAAGCTCGCTTCAAGATGTACCCAATCTTGTCTGTGACACCTCTGACATATGGTAGTACAGCAGGCACACGCTCGACTGTGGCCGGTTTCACTCGGTCACTGTGACGGAGGCGCGGGACCCGAATCTTGTTGTCGTGTAGAACCTGCTTGACGTGCTGAAGCTCGGTGGCCAGGTGTTTGCTGTCACAGATCCCTCGTGCTCTCTGTAACAAAGATTTGCCCACGGTAGCTAACTATGAAGGATGATGGTGAGATTCACTATTTAAGTATCAGTTTGTATGGGTCTTTTTTCAATGGTGTTGTTAGGATTTTGGATGACTAACACATCTAGGAAAGCTAAGGAATTATTTGCCTCTAACTCCGTAGTAAATTGAATTTTAGAGATTATGGAATTAAGATGTTCTAAAAATGCAGTTACTTTGTCTGATGGTAAAATTGTGAAAGTATCGTCTACGTACCGCTTGTAGAACCTTGGGGTGACAGGTGCAGTAAGGAGGGCTTCCTCCTCAAAGTCTTCCATGAATATATCAGCGACAATGGGAGATAAAGTTGAGCCCATCGCAACACCATCCACTTGCTTGTAAAACTCTTCCTTCCACAATAGATAGCCAGATGCAAGGCAATGTCTTAGTACTACTACATATTCTGGTGGCATATTATTTTCATCTAGTTTCCTAGTTATAATTGAGATGCAGTTTTCAACAGGTAGGCATGTAAATAGAGACTGAACATCAAAATTGACCATGGTTTCATTCACCTGCTTAGGATCCTATAATTAAAATTAAAACTAAACCCAAGCATACCACTGCAAGACTTCAAAACACAGTTACTTCATTCTGCGTAGATCGGACCAAAGACAATAATTAAAAAGCTGAAGGTACTCCGGGTTAACTTTGACATCGGGACGTCAGTCACCTCAGTCCCCCGTGACCATGGGTGCTGGAAAGCACCCGAAACGTCGGGTATTAAAAATAAAATAAATAAAACGCGATAAAATCCGTAAAAGTACTTTTAATCTATGTATAGTGTTCGCGTAAATATAAGAAATCATTACACACATACTGTACAAATATCAATATAAATGGTGTGTAGTACATATACTACACCTATACTTATACATAAAATATTTGGCTCTATGGTGAAGACAAAGCAAAGTAGCAATAAAATTTATGATTTTAGTACACATCTATATTCTGTACTCAAAGAGCACGGTACTTGCACGTGTCTCTTTCCCGCGCGCACTGTCTTGTAATCTCTATAAATATTTAATCTGTTTCATGTCCCAGTTTTACGTCATTCTCCCCCTTCGGGGCTCACGGCACAATAACTCCTACGTCGTCGGGCCTTCCTTCCAGCGTTCCTTACCTAGTGTAGGGGAGACCGTGAGCAGGAAGGTGTTTCCCCGCAGGGCGAGGCCTTTCCATTGCGGTATTCGAACCGCAGGCTCGTAACGTCACAGTCAAACGATTAGTCGCTGTGCTACGAAGGGAGGTCAAAATATTCGCGGTGTGATATAGGAAAGGTGCCAATGAGAAGGAGACGTGTTACTTGTTCTAGATGTTTAATTATACTGCACAATTATTCCACCTACACTATATTAATGTGGGGGGCTACACTACACTACAGCGGACTGAAAGGGAAAGGGAGTAAAATTAAACATGAAATTATTTTAATTTTGTGGTATATTCTCCATTAACCCTAATAACGTATGTAGTATAAAAGTAATAAACCCGATTTATTAAGAGCGGGAAGAGTTACCTTGTCAGGTCGACGGTAAAACCTAACTTCTCCGCTTCGCGTTTAACATGTTTTGAACAATTATACCTCCATTTTGCGTTGTGATGGCGGCGTGAGTGAATATATCACTTCTCTTCGTCCCTTCAGTAAAACGTATTCTTTTTCTTCATCGGCCATAACCCTTAAGTGCATAGTTTATCAAAACTGATAATACGGTTTTCTAGACTCCTAATTCCTGAACGAAAGTCGTTTAATCGGAAATTTTGATTTCTGAACGTGTCGTTATATGTCATAGACTCGTCTGTGATTGGTTCATTCAAATACTTACATGTGATTGGTCCAAAATTTAAAGTTTCGATGACAGCGCAGACAGTTTGTAGAGTAAAACGAATTCGTAATTTTCATCCGAAGAAATCTTACAAATAAAAGTGTGTTCAACTAATAAAAAAATTATTTTTGGAAGGTTAGTATCTATATTTTGGGTCCATGTTTTAATTTTTCAATAAAATTGTACATTTGGTAAAAGAAGTATGCCCACTTTCCATACATTGATTGACCTGTCATTTGATTCTTTTTAGACGTCGCGTCTACCTACAACTACTGTTGCATAAAATCAATTATCGTTTATAATAACATAATAACTTATCACCTTTTTATTTAGAGGCCAGGGAAAAATGCCATAAAGTAAATAAATTTTACAGATTATAAGCTGTCAACTGTACACTATGTAAAAAAGCATATCTGATCATAAAATAATAAGATAAGTAACAAAAAACAATTGGTTATTTTAAACGTTAATAAACCACATGACAAATTAATAAGATTTTCGTAGTCTGTGAAACGAAATGTGTAAAACACTTTTTTTAAATATATATTGTCATGGCTTCTGGGCTTTTAAGTCATTTTTAAACGCGTTCCTTCTCCAAAAGTCTATTGAGAACGATAAACATATTAATATTACTCTTTTTCCTGGCTTTATTGAAAAATTCTATTATGCGATACGAAATAAGCAAAATAAAGGCAACTTTATAAGATATTTTATATTACTAGACGCGTTAGAAAATTTTCAGGTCAAAATTGGACATGATTCTTTTTGGGCTTGAAGTTTGTTATCAAAAATGATAATGTATGCAGTAGCGGTAAAACTTTTTCGATATATGGGTTTATTATTTTTTAATGTTTTTTTCGGATTCGTTTCTTTATTTAAGTTTTTTTTAAAACAGATATTTGTTTTTAGGTTTCTAGCAGCGGACAATGAATGACGAAGACATTTCGACACTCTTATGGCGGTTAGAAAATGGAGAGGTATCAGAAGATGAAAGTGATCTAGACGAGGATGCCTTAGACTATTATGATAATGTCGGTGAGTTGCAAGCAGATCTTGAAAGAGAGAACCAAATACTAGAAGAAATATTGACCGAAAATGATGGGACAGCCCCTGATCCTCCACTAATATTTGATGAACTAGTAGAAAACCAGCCCCATTCCAACGCCACTCCTAGTTTACGGGATTTGGTATGGAAAAAGAAGAATTTGGATTTGGTGGATCAGGCTTTTACATTTCTTGGATGTACTGACTACCCTCCGATTATTATGAATTTATCTACTCCTTATCAGTATTTTTCATACTTTTTTGATGAAAGTTTACTCGCAAGAATCGTTACTGAATCTAATAAATATGCCATACAAAAAAATATTAATTTTTCTGAACCAATGACAGTTCTGGAACTGAGAAAATATATTGGTATCTTGATTTATACTTCGGTATATCACTATCCTAGTATAAGATCCTACTGGGCAAATAATGTAAGATTCCATCCAATAGCTGATACGATGACCGTTAACCGTTTTGAAAAAATTCGGGAAATTCTTCATTTTAACGATAATGAAGGTCACTTACCCCGTGAACATCCTGAACATGACAGATTACACAAAATACGAACAATAGTGGACCACCTAAATCAACGATTCATGTCAGTTCCTTTTGATCATAGACTTTCATTAGATGAGCAGATGTGCGCAACTAAAATTTCGCACTTTATGAAGCAGTACTTGCCCAACAAGCCTCATAAATGGGGCTTGAAATTGTACGTGCTCTGTTGTCTGATGGGTTACGCATATTCATTTGAAATTTACTCAGGAACTCATGATTACAAAAGACTACCAAATGAGCCAAATCTTGGAGCAGTTTCAAATACAGTGGTGCGTTTGCTTCGACCTGTACCGAGAAAAGTAAATCATATAGTGTACTTTGACAACTTTTATTCAAGCCTGACTCTGTTTCATCATTTGCACAAGGAAGGCATATATTGCTTAGGTACAGTTCAAAGAAACAGATTAGGAAAAACCTGTAAGCTACCAAAAAAGGAAGATGTACAGAAAACATCTGTACCAAGGGGTTCGTACGACGAGAATGTTGCTTCTCTTGATGGTGTTGAGTTTGCAGCGACTAGCTGGAAGGATAACAAACAGGTCTTGCTGTTATCTACGTATGTAGGTGCAAATCCTGTGGGTACTATTAGCCGCTATGACAAGAAGCAGAAAAAAAACATATCAATACCATGTCCGAAAGTAATTGAAGAATATAATGCACATATGGGTGGTGTGGACACAATGGATAGTTATTTAGGGCGATATAGGATCCGAATGAAGTCCAAGAAGTGGACCAATAGACTATTCCAACATATGCTGGACATGGCGGTAATAAACAGCTGGATTTTATACAAGAAAGTTTCACTGAAAAAGAAAACAAATCCAAAAAACATTTTAAAACTTGTTGATTTTCGGACGGAGCTAGCTGAAACTTTGTGCAAGTATGGGGCCGTATCTGAAAATAAAAGAGGCAGACCCAGCATGAATAGACAGGAAAATACGTCAAAAAAGAGACCAAAGATTGGTGCACAGACATTACCACCAAACGACGTCCGTACTGATGGAGTTGGACATGACAAAAGCTACAACACTAAGAGAAATCAGTGCAAATATGCAAATTGCAAAAAAACTAACTTCTGTAATGTGTACTAAGTGCAAAATATCGCTTTGTGACAATAGAAAAAATAATTGCTTTCAAGTTTTTCATGCTATGTAAAAATAAAATAACATTAAGTATAAAAACTTGGGTACTTTATGTTTTCTAGTATCACTAAGCAAAAAACTTCTTAAAGCATAGTTTATCAAAATTGATAACAACTTTTTTTTTGCCAATAAAACTTTTAATATACAGATATAATTTTTTTTATTATTTTCTTATGATCAGGAGGTCACGCTTTAACACATATATTTTATTCTTTCAAAAATAAAAATTCATGCATCTAAGGGATAAAACTATTCTCTCATTGTAAGGTTTTATTATTACTAAAATGACACATCAAATCACAGTCCACTTGACGATAAGTAGCCAGTACAGTCCAAGGTCACCTGCAGCCTAATATATAAAAAGAAAGCTACAGATGTATTTTTTTATAGAATAAGGGTGACAAACGAGCACACAGTCCATCTGATGGTAAATGGATGATATGGGCCATAGACATCTACATTTATCCTCGATTATATAAGATTCGATAAGAATCAAAATGCAGATGCGTTGTCACCGCCGAGGACTAAGATGGAATGCCTCATTTCCAGTAAATAAGGATCTCCGGATGTCTACACTCACCATACGAAATGCAGCAACATTATGCTGCCATTTTACGCTGGTATTCTGTGAGATCATGGTCCTTCCCCGTTCGAGCTGACCCATTCGTGCTACTACCATAATATAGCTGCAGCGTGACTCTACCATGTATTAAAATGCAGAAGCGTTGTCACCCCTGAGGACTAAGACGGACTGCTTGATTTCCATTAGAATGGGTCTCCGGACTTTACAGTGGTGTTCTGAGAGAGCGTGAATATGGGTGACAAACGGGCACACAATCCACCTGATGGTAAGTGCCATCGTCGTCTCTATATACTAAGCCCTATAGACATCTAAATTTATCCCGGATTAAGAGTCATTATGCAGATGCGATGTAACCCATAAGGACTAACCTTGAATGCCTCGTTACGCCTCCCTCATGGATTGTCTCTTGGGTTGATGTTACCATAGTTGCCACGCTTGGCGAGCGGGTTGGCAACTGCAGTTTTTTATTATTTTGATTCGTTATCGGGAGGATGCTGTTGCCCTGCTGATCTCCTGTTTCAACTTCCCTCTGTCAACTCTTACGAAACCCTCGGAACAATATGGCGTAATGGATAGTCCTGTACCGCCAAACGGTTTAAGTAAAACATACTTTGATAAAAATGTTACTTTATTGCATAAAGTTATACTTTAAAAATTGTGCGCCTCAGCTCCGACACGTGACTGGAGTTTACCCCTTAAAAACAATGGTATTAAAATATATTAAAATATATACAATAGACAAAGAAAGTAAATAAATAAACCGATATATTTATTTACATGAATTTAATAAAATATATGAAATAAATTATATTACATAAAATTATATGACTTATATTACATTATTCATTTCTCCAAACTCCAAACGCTTGATTTTACTATCCATCCATTTACTACCATCATACCGTGCGCTATATATCAAAAAAGATTTTCGATCATTAGATTTGATTAAGGAGTAAATTCCAATAAACTCCAAAAAAACGGTTTCAAAATACTTTATTTCGACGTGTGGTTAATAGAGATTAGACATTAAACTATAGACGGAATCCACTGTTTCATTTTTCTAAATAAATATATACAATCAGTAGTACATACCCACACCTAAGTACCTTGTACTTAGCATTATTACTCTTTGACATCGTAAGGTACAACCGTTTGATGTCAGTGCATTACAATAAGGGCACGACATCCATGTTGTTAATGCCACATCGATAATGAAGATTAAAACTTTACTCATAACGCTTGAACGTTAAAAACTCATAATATCAAGAATGGCGCAAAAATGTAAAGTGTCCCAGATATCACTAATTTGCAAAAGAAATGGCTCCTCGAAACTTTTCTCATAGCAGGAAGGAGCGCACGAACAACTTAGATTAACGAATCTGTGAGATGTAACTGAAGTCGAGTGAGGTGTTTTGTGTACAAATTGTGTCTATCATCATTTCCTTCATATTTTAACTCAGCAGTAAGTTATACATCTATACACATAAATAAAAATGACGTGTGTGTCTGTTATATTGAAAAAACTGCCTTATATTGAGCTGAGGGGGGTAAGTTACATGCCATTAGTACATGGATTACCATTCAATAAATCTATTGATATAGATTTTATCGCGTTTAATTAACAAATTATTAATTTCCGACGTTTCGGTTTTAACAGCACCCATAGTCACGGGTGATTGACGTGAAAAACATCCTAATTTCAATAGAGAATATAGATGGGTGCTGCTGGACGTAAATCACCTCAGTCACCCGTGACTATGGATGCTGGAAAGCACCCAAAACGTCGGGAATAAAACTCATGTAAATTAAATGCGATAAAATCTGTAAAAGTAGTTTTAATAAATTTTCTCACAGTATGCATTTCCGCCTATCTATCTGTGAGTCTTAGTGTGCGTAGAACGCTCCCCCTCACAGTGGGTCCCGCTCGGCCACGGACACCCGATTACAAATGGACAAAACATTGCTAGGGGTCTGCGGAAGTGACATATGATTACTGACTTCTGCTAAGTGTGAACAATATTTTTATAACAAACACTACTAGTTTAGTTCTTCAATATATTGATGACATATTTCTTATGTGATTTCAGCGATAATTTTGTATCAAGTTATCCGATTTCAATGTTTATTATTTTTTGTTTGAAAAAAAAAACTTGGTTGTTGTCTCATATTGTTGCCCCTACGAGATCAATATTTGACGATAGGATCCATGTGAAAATATTTTATTCCATAAATTGCAATGGCACCCGCACGACTTATGAGTGGCAGCTCGGTAGCAGTTGAGTTGCAAGCCGAAAGCGACGGGTTCCAATCCCTTATAGAACAAATATTTGTATGACCTGCAAATAATTGTTCATGGTCTGGATGTTGTACAATTTGTGTTTGTAAACTGCCTCCACGATACACGAGTACGAAATACCCACTAACGCTTTTAAAAAAAATTTAGCATGGCAACATCAGTCGATGATGAAATAATTTTTTTTCTTGTGTAGTTGATTTTAATTTTTTTTTAACAGTACATAAAACACTTAATCCACGCTAACAAAGGGGCGGGAGAAGTTAATACAATAAAATAATAAAACAAACAACCAAAAATGAGTTGCTCATTAAGACGCGGTGAATAGACGACTTTTATATACTAGAGGGGGTGAAGCAGATGAGTGGGGGACGAGTAGTCTCGCTCACTGCGGGATGCATACCACACGAAATTTGCCGATGTGCGACGTCCATTACATATAAATACGTAAATTCACACACTAGTGTAATATACGTTTATCCCGTAGTACGCTTATATTTCTGTATTCGTATTTTTAAAATGTTCTTATTATTAAAATATCTCTATATATTTGTTCTCTTATTTTGAAAATATTATGTACCAACATATTTTCGTATTGTTATTTTTAAAATACGTAAATATTTTTTTTCTTAATTTAAAAATAAATATTCAATTTTCTACAAAAATTATCGAGAAATTATGTAACAGATTCTTTAGACGAATAATAAATAAAATGGCTGGTGCAGAATGGTCAATTCTAAAAATGGTCTATTCTCGAAACGGCTAATTGTCAAAAAAAATTGAATTTATAAAAACATATAATTTTTTAATATACCTAGATATAATTTACTTCTTCGGAATCAGGATCAAAATAATAAAAATAAAATAAAAATATCCACGGAACTTGATGGTTGATTATGGAGAAAAATATTAATATACAGTGTGTTACAAAAGAGTGTAGTACCAAAGGCAGACATCGTACATACATTGTAGTGTCAGCCCTAAAATCGAATAGAATAAAATAGAATAGAATATTTTTTATTCAATATAGATTACATGTAATTGTTATTGAAAGTCATTTTTACTTTACCACTGGTTCGGAAAAAAACCTCTGTCCTAGGAAAAACCAGCAAGAAACCCAGTGGGACTTTAATAACATATATTTTACAATATGATTGGTTACAAACTATTTACAAAATTTATTTTAGAAACAACTTTGAAGCGACCACCTCATTCCCAGGGTTTATTATCAACCATGTATTTATTTATATTATAATAACCCTTTTTATACTTTTTTTAATTAATTAAATATTTAAACTTATTAACAGCCAATCCTTTTTTCTCCTATGAGTGACATTTGTAAGAAATGACAATTCTAAAAAGAACTATGACTGGATATAATTCACAGCTATTGGATAGAATGCATTATGTCAACTACTCTTTGAACATGAATTGGTGGTTCTAGAGATTGGGTCGACGGTTCAATCAATAGCACATCGTCGGTGATTATTATATTATATTTTTTATTATAGAGAATAAAAAAACGCACAAACAAAAAATCTAAGTCATGGCAATTACGAGGTATTTACGAATACTTACTTATCATAATTTGATTTTGGTTTGGCTCCTGGAGTTACAACTAATGCAATTGAAAGTGATATCCCAGGGTTTTCGTGCTCAGAATCTTTTTGTAATCTAAAATTGAAACAAGTTTTTAAATTGAAATACATAGTTATTTTTATATTATGTGTTTTTTTTTTTTTTTGAGAAAATGAATACCAACAATTTGCATTTCGAGTAATTTGCATTTGGCATTTAGAAAATTTTGAATGAGGATTTAGTTAATTTATATTGTGGGCATTTTGGTAACTTATAGCGCCTAAGCCCACTTATTCATTTTAGATTTAGATTTGAGAAGTAATTCTCAGTTGATAAATTAGAAATATTTTGTAACACCATGTATGTAAAAGTTTACTCATGAAAAGTTTTCTCCGATCATTCATCTGGCGACGGATTGTATGACAACCGTTTCTTTTTTACTAAAAAAACAATAAAATTGGATTATGATTATATTAAAAATAAGAAAATTAAAAA